TTTTCGAAAAAACCCAAAAAGAAGACTAGAATCATCCTACACAAACGTTTTCTGAAAGCAGCGGCCAAGTGGGTAAAAAAAAAGGACCACTTGAGAGCCTGAAAACTTCCATTCCACTCCATGGCTCCATGCGTGCAGGCACCATATGTCCCAGTTCGGCCCGCCGAATTTCGAGATCATCATATCAGACCCTCGAATCTCCCCTTCTTTTTTTAAAAACATTATCATTTCAACACGTACTCACTACTTAACAAAACCTCAAACACTACTCCTTGTATCAACCTGATCTCCTATCGACATGTGTCAAAAAAAAACAAGAAGAAAAAAGAGAAAGAAAAAAAAAAGGAAAAAACATAAAAACATATGGAAAAAATAACAAAAACAAAAACCGGATAAAAAACCGACCCCTCCTACTCCGGAGGGTAGACCCTCTGGCAGTCCTCCGCAGCCCTTCTGTTCGAACCGATAAGTAAAGGTATCCAGCTCTTCCATACCCCTCCAAACTTCCTGGAAAAAGAGACCAATGCGACATCAAAAATGTCATTCGGGTACCCCCTGCGCCACAGTTCGCTCTTTAGTGCCAGTAAAAAAAGTAACTCAGCAGCCTGCAGTGATGCATAAGTCCTAGCCCGATGTAAAAAGGACCCAACAACGCCCATTTTCTGTTGCCTACTGAAATAAGATCTATAATCCTGAATACTTTGAAACATCAATTTCCCATTCATCCCAATTCTCTGATTTTTCATCATAGGTATACATTGTACCCCTTTCTGTCCTTCACAAACTCGAAGTACACAACCCAAATAGTCCCACTCCCCTTGGTCACCAGTACGCTCCATGACCAAGTTATCGTCATAGCACTCCGAAAACTGTTTAATAAATTCTTCCCCTTTAATCCTTGAAAGCTCGTCGTTGATCCTGCAGATCACAAAAATATATACGTCGTCGACCATTCGGAATCCATGGAATAGCCTTCGATCAGCCCCGAGCGTTCTCCAAAAATTGTACTCGTTGTAGGCGCACAACAGACACGCAATGGCCGGACTGGAAGACTTCCACATAGGGACGCCCATGGTGTGCTGTAGCAGACATCCGGCAGCAGAAACAAAAGTATGCCGAAACTCAAAGTTGACAAAAGCTAAAATTAACGAAAAAGACACAGATTTCCAACCTTCCTCCACTCTTCCTTTCACAAACTTGGCGCCTTTCCCTTGTTTTCTAACAGCTACCGCTCTCACTTCTCGATCTCTCCAATAGTCAATTACCCAAGCTAAAGCTGTCATAATTGAGGGACGGAGGAGATTAGAGAACATTTCCTTAACATCAAAAGCCGCACCCATAATGTACTCCTGTTTCCTCAGACCCTTATTGATATTCTTTACCCGCCCCAACAAGCCATCCGCGCTCCTCAAATTAAGGTTGGATTCAGAAGGTAAATTCCATAATAATGCGTTCACAACTCTAGCAATTATCTTCCCTCCAAACGCAGAGCATTCCAGGTATGATGGACAAATCGGTCTCCATCGGGATATGTCCTTGTGCTTCGGCAGGCAGTAAGCCTTCCCTATTTCACCCTTATTTTTCCATTTACTAACCTTCTTTAACCCAGACTCATCGTAAAGCCTTGCACACTCCCTTAACGGACCCTCCTCCGAAATACTGCTGATCGAAAAGGACGGATTCCTGAAGAACAACTTCCGCATACCGGTCTCATAGATAGTAAGAGATTAAACAAAAGCATCTCCCATATTATGGTTTAAGGGAGTGCACACCAGTCCCTTCAGTCGCTCAAGGTGCACGCATAACTCATCTTCGTTTATGGCACACCCCAACTCCCCTCCATTTTTCCCAAAATACTGTTTCAGCATACTTTTAGTAATACTGTCACCTTCTATATCGGGCAAGGATGGATGGGCCTGAAAGGCAGCCACTACCTGCTTCTTAAGAACACCTAAACTATAAATTATCGATGGTCGCTGGAGAGTTTTAGAATTCCGCATCCATTCTAGAAACAAGTCACATTCATTCATACGGAAGGAAACGTGCCCCCCGATCCTTGGTAACTCCAACTCACATGACTCACAACAACAAAAAAATTCCTCCCGTCTTGAATACTGTCTAAAATTATGTATAATGTCGCTGATGGACCGGTTCCATTGCCAAACAATTCGTATCCGGCGAATGATCATCTCCTTCCATACAACTGAAATCTCTATAGTAGACACGACGTTCGCAACCATCCTCCGAATTTTTGCTTTGCACAAGCCATCGTCATACACCAAGTTCACAACCAGCCTACTTCGAACTTTGATGTCGAATTTAGAAAAAAATATCCTAGACAAAATGCAGCGCAACTGAAATCAAGATCTTTTCTCTCTAAATGTACGGAAGACAGTATAGGCATAAATAAGCTTATCAAAATCCCAATTATATAATTCCTTCCTAGAAGATGGGTTACTCAATAGGGCGCTCAATTGTCCTTTAAGTGCAATTGACTTACTCAACAAATGGACCACCGATTCAACAGAAATGCGCATACCACATTTGAGCCATCCCCGTGCATGTCCAAGCTCAGTTCTCTAATATTCACTAGAGACTATACACCCCCCATACAGTCGCTTCACCACCTTCCATCGGTCAACAACTTTGTCACCCCCTCGACAGACCAATTCGAATATATGAATTGAGCGCTTCCTACAGTCCTCCAAGATTTTAAACAGGCTAACTGACACAAGACCAGTGCTCGAGTGAAAAGTCAACAGTTTATTATTCATCCATCCCACAACACCGCTTCCCACAACAATCCTCTGCTTCCTCCTCGCTCTTTCCCTCCTCCCAGGCCGCCTACTCCTCTTTGCACTTTTACCTCTACCTCATATATTCAATGCTGGAGTGAGCAGTCGTATAAAATTCTTCTCAACTTCTTCAAGATCTTCTTCCGCACAGCTGGCCAGAGGGATAACAACATAATTATGGACTCCATAACTTCGAAGCCACTGGTACAATTCCTGATTTCTCCTACCCCCTTCTACCATAGTCTATCGACAAGCCCGTTACACATGCTCCTGCCATCTCGTATACACATCCCGATTAGTACTCCCCACGTATAAGTGACGACAAAAAGGTGACAATAATCCATAAACAACTGGCCCTTGACCCTTATCGAAATCATAACCATGACAAACTGCATGGGTAATAAATCCACTCAACTTATTCCCCCACGGAATCTGACCTGACACAATCAACAGACAAACCACAATACTAAAAAAGACATTGACAATTCGACACCTCAGCGAGTTATTATTCTGAGACCTTACCCTACATCATCGTCTCAACAAGCTCCACAAAAGAGCCGCGTCCGGGTATGTAGCTAAGAGACAGCTGCATCGCCGTCGTCACTCTTTGAGATGTTGTCATCCCCATCATCCGTAACTTCATGAATGGAGAAACCATCATTACCTGCTTCTTCTGTCTGTTCGCCTTTAAGCGCCTTGTCCGCCCATAAGTTCGCGATCTCTTCTTTTGTTGTTTCCAACTTAAAGTACTCGATACCCTCTTTTTCGCAAATCACCATCACATCCTTCTTCGTAAGGTTTCTCAGTTGTCACCTAACATCCTTCAAAAATTTATCCCGCTGGCTTGTCACAACAGCTGGAGTAGCAACTTTTTTGCCACGATCGGTCTTCCTTGCGGGGGTAACTGCTGCTGCATCCAGCTGGGTCTTCAAGTTCGTGCCGACCACCTTGTGCTGTTTCTCCATGTTCAACTTATTCATTTCTTACCGCAATCTCTCAATCTCCCGTTGGTCTCTTTCGTGCTTCTCTTTCAACTTCTCGAGCTCTTGCTCGGCTTCCCGTCGTCCATTCAACTCCTTTAATCGCAGCTCTTTCAGCATGTCGACTTCCATCACGTGTCGCTCTACTACTCCTTTCAAATGCTCATCTGCCTTCTTCTTCCCTGTGCCAGTAACTTGGCTCGGGGTTACGCGAGGTCGGATCCTCATCTGAGATGTCGGGGACCCCATAACCAAGCTACCACGCTTGTTTCCCGGCCTTAGAGCCTCATTCTTCCAGGCTTCTGCATCCGCAACCGCTTCCTCCCGTAACCGGTTCAACTTCGCAATCTCCTCCTCCGATATAGCAAATCTCCTTTCCGATTCAGCTTTCATCTCCGCTTGTTCTTGCTTGAGTCTCTCTACCCGTTGCGCCTCTGTTGGTGGCTTGTGAACAGTTGTAGAAGGACCGGCCACGCACTGTTCACATTTCAATCTCTCAATTTCTTGTTTCAGCTTGGCCACCTCACTGTCATCGTTCTTCTTCCCGATGGCGCCAACAACAACGTCCAATTTGCTAGACAACTCCTTGGTGATTGATGAATGAAACTCCTCTCTTTCTTTCTTTTCACGCATTCTTCTCTCCTCCTCTTTGTTTTCACGCTTCTTCCTTTCAATTTCTTCCTTGGCTGCTTGCTCCTTTGCTTCGTCTGCGTCATGCTTCGATTTGATCTTCTCTACAACATCTTCCAGCGTAGTAACACGCTGCCGCAGGTAGCCACCTCCTGAATACCGACCATTATACGGTACGTTGGCAGTCGGAACACTAGTGCTAACGGAAAGTATCAGTGCCTGAAACGGGACTATCGCAGAACTAGTGGACCGAGGGTGACCATTCAATCTCCTATCACATAAGGGACATAACCTAGAGATGTGGCCGGGCTGGCCACAATTGTAACAGTTCCTGACGAAAGGAGCATTGCTGTTGCTATCCATAGTGGAGGTAGACGAATTCTCTCGAAGCCACTCGACAGTAGTGCTACTTCTACGTCGGTAACTTCGTGTATACAAGTATGTTTGCAGTCAGCAAACCAAAATTAGAAACATCCACATGACTTTCCAACATAAGTCCAAGACAGGATACTGACACTGGGACACCGTCGACCTCGATAGAGAAGAAGAGGAGGAGGAGGAAGAAGGACACAAGATAATAGTAGTAACAAAAACCCGAACGCGACTTAGCTGTAAAAATAAAACATGAAGTAACAGCTTGACGAAACAGAGTCTCGTCTGGCGATGGACCCTACTGGTTTCACCTGGTCGCCAACCAGGATCATCAGGGGTCTTGTCGGTATCAGGGACGATGCAACTAAACTATTTATCTTGTGAAAAAGAGTCTAGTGTAAGGTCTACATCGTCTAGTCCTTACTCAGGGTTCACACCGCCTCACGTAGTCTTCCTTCAAACAATCATGAATCTTCACTCGGACTCCGTCCCGTTCAGTTCTTTTTCGAAAAAACCCAAAAAGAAGACTAGAATCATCCTACACAAACGTTTTCTGAAAGCAGCGGCCAAGTGGGTAAAAAAACAGGACCACTTGAGCGCCTGAAAACTTCCATTCCACTCCTTGGCTCCATGCGTGCAGGCACCATACGTCCCAATTCGGCCCGCCGAATATCGAGATCATCATATCAGACCCTCAAATCTCCCCTTCTTTTTTTAAAAAACATTATCATTTCACCACGTACTCACTACTTAACAAAACCTCAAAAACTACTCCTTGTATCAACCATATCTCCTATCGACATGTGTCAAAAAAAACAAGAAGAAAAAAGAGAAAGAAAAAGAAAAAGGAAAAAACATAAAAACATAAGGAAAAAATAACAAAAACAAAAACCGGACAAAAAAACGATCCCTCCTTCTCCGGAGGGTAGACCCTCTGGCAGTCCTCCTCAACCCTTCTGTTTCAATCTGGGATGGCCCAGCTCTCCCGAATGACTATGGAGAGTCTGTTAACCAGTTTCTTTTCCGAAGAGGAAATAAAAATATTCTATATGCTGGGCAGCAACCAGCTTCAGGCAATGGTTAATAAGGGAGAAATGAAGGCTCTAGTAGACAACGGGTCCGAGTCGAACGTTTGTCGAAACTTGATCGCAAAGGAATTGAGCCTGAAAATAGACAAAAAAATCGCCATGTCTATGGTGGTTGCTGATAACAAACTGCAACTGAAGGAGTCTGTCACCGACTGGTAATCGTGGTCGCGGGAGTAGAGACAAGTGTGCCAATCTTTTCGGTGGAAGAGTGTTCATCCGAGTTGATACTTGACTGCACTTGGTTGAGCAAGGTCCATGCTACCACAGTCGACCTTCCCGTCAGAAGTCAGACGCTCTCTATCCAGTCTCTAGACAAAGCCTGAATAGTTCTTAGAACCATGGATGGTCAAGATGAGTGCAACCGTACAAGTATCCCAAGGAAAGGGGGTGGCCGATCCAGAGTGTGTCAGGTCCTCCTAGAAGAAGCTGCCTTTTTCAGGAAAGTATTCTCGGATGATAAAGTAGAAGTTGAAGAGATTGGAGATTGGATTGTGATCGATGGAACAAGTTATGAAAAGGAGAGCGAGGATGAGGAGTTCGACGAATGTATATAGTTGTCCTTTTTGGAGGAATCTTTTTAAGTCGGCGGAGGTAGGAAACATAAAACCATGACGGAAAAAGTACAACCTGCCGCGGTCAGCCAGGAGAGGACCAGGGAAGCAACGATCTTTGAAGAAAAAACAACCGAGATCATTAGGGGGTGGAAAACGAAGGAACGCCAAAGAATCACTGCTCACATATTGAAAAATATAGACATAGGAGACAAAAACCTCATAGAGAAGGAAAAGGAGTACGTGGTGACGATCTTGAGGGTTTGCGATAAGACCATAACGTTTGCTGACTCGGAAAGAGGTGGGATCGACCCGAAATACGCTAAGCCTGCAATGATCCATACTATTCCCCATGTGTCTTGGAAAGACAGGCCTCCATGGAAGTATAAGTAGAAAAAGAAGGAGGTAGCAAGAGCGCCTACGAAGGAAAAAATTAGGACATCTGTGGCCGAACTGTGCAAGAGCACCTACGAGAATAAGTGGTTCTTTCTAAGAAAAGGAGGTAGCGACAAACTCAGGTGTATCCAGGATCTTCGAAGGACAAATGCGGTCAGCATCTGAGATGTCGCGTCTATACCGGAGGCAGACCTTTTAGCAGAAGGAGCGATGGGATGATCGATCTATTGTATCTGTGACCTTTTTTTTTTTTGTACGATGAAATTCCCCTAGATTATCATGACTGATACATGATGACTATGCATACGCCACTAGCGGTGCCAGAGTTAGTACAAATGATGGTGGTACCAATGAGGTGGACCGATGGAGTGACCGTTTTTCGAACAACCATGATTGCGGTTCTCAAGGAATTCATCCCGGAACAAAGTGAAAGTTTTCCTTCACGATTTTCCGGTAAAAAGGCGAGTTTAGAAGGACGAGACGGAGTTTTTTTTTGAGGTGAGGAAGTTCGTGGTCGATCATATGACGGATGTGAAGGCGGGTATTCGACGACGCCAACCTTACCATCAGCGAGACTAAAAGTCGAAGGACGGTCTCTTCTATTAAGATACTAGGGTTCATTTGTGATAAGGACGGAAGGAGGCCAGACCCCGCCAAGTTAGAGAAGCCAATTCTATGCGCATCATTTTTGAAAACAATTACAGAAAAGCGACAATTTTTAGGGGTTTGGGCTACTGACGCATTTTCGCAAAGGTCTATAGCGACAAGGAAGAACCTCTCTGAAGCTACTTCGTAAAACCAAGAGAAGAGACCGGGGAGAGGACAAAAAAAAGACAATTCAAACTCTCAAAGAGGAGTTCTTCGACGGAGGTTGAGTATTGGAGGTCCCCTATTTCGATGATGTGGACCATAGTTCGTTCACAGTGTCTACTAACACGGGTCTGTGTTCAATAAGGGGGCCCCTATCCTTAAGGGACGGGGACAGTTGAGAGCGACCTCTAAGGTTCGAAAGCAGGGCGCTCAACGCTGCCAAGAGAAACTACAAAGAAGGAGGTTTTACTAGTGTTTCAATGCCTAAAGACCTTTAGGCATTACGTTTGGGGAAGGCGATTCCTCGTACGGGTGGACCCGACTGCAATGATAACCGTACTTCAAAAGAACTTCTCTTTGACGGACCCGATAATAACCCGATGGATAATCCACATCCGACTTTATGACCACGGAGTTGAAAGGATCTCGGGGGCTAAGAACCAGGTCGCCGACGGTTTGTCCAGGATCCCAATTTGGGAAGAAGACTACCTTAGATTGGAGGAAGAAACCCGTTTTCTGACTAGCGACAAAATCATAAGCGTCGCGGCTAATAAAGCAAGACTAGGGTTAAGCCCTAGAGAGAATACAAGCAGGAATCCGGAGGTGTTCTTAGCCAACCTCTACGACGAGAAGTATAGGGAGATAGGATTATACCTCGCAGGGAGGCAGGAGGGAACCGATACCGTAAAAAGAGATGCACTCGGGTATTGTTTGAAAGACAGACACTTTTTTAAAAGGCCAACGAAGTTGGCAATGACCATGCAAGTACTCTGTGATCCGGAAGAAAAGAAGGCTGTCATAGAAGAATTACACGACAGGGTCGTTGGAGGTCACCGTGCGTTAAAATGGACGTTCGACAAGGTTCGGATGCTTTATTGGTGGGATGGACAATACGCTGAAATTGAGAAATACTGCTCGACTTGCAAAGCTTGTCAAAAGAGAACGACTGTCCGTTATAAGGAACCTCTTTTTCCGTCATTCCGTACCTCACCTGGGAAAAGGTCCACATGGATCTAATAACCATGACAAAAGAAGAGGGGGGGCTGCGATACATTATCAAAACGTGTGATGACCGCACCGGGTTCGTAGAGGCTAGAGTCATTAAGAAGAAGACTCCGGAAGAAGAAAACATTTTTTTTTTTGAATATATCGCTAGGTACGGATGTGCAGGGAAGGTTGTCATAAACAGGGGGCCCAGATTTACAAATTAGAAAGTGAAGGGGATACTATAGAAAACAGGGATTAAGACGACTTATACGACCGCCTTATCACCCCGAAAGCAATGTGCCGGTTGAGTGGGGGCATCAAACATTGGTGGAAGTCTTGGCAAAATGGTGTAAGGGTCAGGAAAGTCAATGACCACGATTCCTGCGGTATGCCGTTTAGGCAGATAACATCACAGTCAAGTCAAGCACTGACGATCCCCCTTATACCCTGTGGTTCAGTAGACACTGCCCCCTGCCTACCGAATTTCACGTGATACCTGGACGAGCATCTCATGGAGAGTCAATATGATAAGAAGCCAACTGTTGGAAGCAATGTTGTGGCAGATAGCTAAGAATCTTGACACCGGAATGATGGAAGAAGCCCGAACCTTGAGAAGGGCTAAACAAAGGGAAAACAGAGGTGAGATCGAAACCTGCGTGTCCGACCGAGGCCGATAGAGACTGGTAACCTCGTCTTGATGTACTACTCGTCACTAGAAAAGACCTGGGTCAAAAAGTTAGCCAATCGATGGATGGGGCCGTACCGAGTACTAAAACGGATGAGGGAGTGAACTTTCTTGCTATGTAGTATCACCCGCGCATGCGGCCACGGGGTCAAACTCAGAGGGCGGTCGTGATCACGGCCGCCGCGGCTCCGGTCGCTGTTGGGTGCGGCCGCGACATTCAGGAATTGTTTTAGACTTAAAGAATTTCTCAAAAAAAAAATAAAAAAAAATGGCATTGTATATGCTTTCGATATCTAAATTGCGCAAGTTTTTATTTTATTTTTTGACTTCGTCTTCTAATTTTCATGAGGCAAAAACATTTTTTTTCTAGGTTGTTTTATTGGACGTCCGGGACGTCCGGACGGACGTCAAGTCGAACGTCGGACCGGACAGGGTATGTCCGACCTAGCGCAAAAAAAAAAAAAAAAATTGAAAAAAATCATGTGGCTTCTACCTTGCATAAGGTGTACGCCACCAAAATTTTGGCTTATTCGAGCCAGTAGAAAAAAAAATAAAAATCTTCAAAGATTCTAATCCCCACCTGTACCCCCCAAACCCCTCGTACCC